GGGTCTCGACCCCGCGGGCTCAGGCCATCCACTCACCTCAGCCTCCCAAAGGCATGGGATTACAGGCTGAGCCACCGAGCCCGGCTGAAAAACAATTTTAAAAAGATGAGGGCTGACTAAAGAAATGGTAAATGCTTGAAGTGACGAATATTTCCAATGACCCCAATTTGATAATTACACACTATATGCTTATAACAAAATGTCACACGCATTCCATAAATACGTACCATTATTATATGTCTGTAACTTTTTTAAATTAAAATTTTTAAAGAAAGACTAGGGACATCGGTGTGGATGAGGAATACACGGAGGCAGAGTGCCCTCCTCATCCCGTCGGGTCAGAGGCACACGCTCTCCACACGCCTTGCCGCTGCTGATGTTGGCCATGACTGCCTGCTAAGGCAGCGTGTGTCAGGCTTCCCCTGCAGGGTCTGCTCCCCTCCCTTTCCAGCCTGGACCCTCTGGATGGAATATGTGCACCATTTATTTGGAATGATTCTTCCTGGGAATGTCTCTCTTCTTGCCATGTACTGACTCAATCGTTTATTTAACTCAGTATGGACTCGCTGCTAGCCATTTTCCGCTTGGGTTTATAATTCAGTCCTGCCTTATTTATTTTGCTGGTTGAATTGTGCTTTGTCTGTTTGGAGCTCGTCCAGTCATCTCCTGTGTACCTTGGACGTAACCCCATCTGTGTATGTGTGTGTGTGTGTGTGTGTGTGTGTGTGTGTGTGTGGTGTCCCACTTTCTGGCACTACAAGATGCTCTAGCCTCAGGTGTTGTATTTCCTGCCCCAGTCTTAGAGGCAGTCTTATCTCCAAGCAGCTTTGGCTCCTTTAACTGGAGAATGAACTTAGAAACTAAGACTTGAGGAGGTAGGTGTGCTTTTTGCTACAGGACTGTCATTATTTCTATGTCCTTTCAGCTGGCAAAACTAGGAGATACACATGTTTACGTCACCCACGCCTATGTACACGTATCTGTGAGTAACTGTCTCCATTAAGAGGATCCTAAGTCCAGCCTGGTATCTCCAAATCCAGTTACCACATGATCACTCTGGCCTCCTCCCTTGCCTGTCTGTGACCTCCCACCCCAGCGGTGGGAAGCCTGGCTCCCACCCGCCACCCATTCACTTGACTGATGGATCCAGTGCACACGTGCAATTGATCAGGATCGCCTGCTGCACCCCTGTGAGAAACAGCTTTATCAGCTGGAGCGTGGCGTTCGTGTACGATGTCTCTTGCCCTTGGTCTTACAGGCGCCACTCATTTCCAGAGTTATGGAGGTCGGCATCTTTCTCCCATCCCTTCAGTTAGAGTGCTTCATGACAGGTTGCATTCCATTCTGGGAGTCCCCTACCCTTCTAATTTTTTTTTAACTTTGCATACATTAAGTTTCGCTCTTTGTGCTGTAAAGTTCTGTGGGTTTGACAGACGCAGACAGTCATGTACTCACCATTACAGAACAGTGTCACTGCCTTGAAAACAGCCCCCGGGCTCCACTCTCCTTCCTCCAAACCTGGCAACCAGTGGTCTTCCTACCATCACCATAGTTTTACCTTTCCGTATAATGTCCTATAATTGGAGTTGTACACGATGTGGCCTTTCAGATGGGCTTTATTTCTTGGCAATATGCACTTAAGATCCTCCATTTTTTCTTCTCATTGAATAGCACTCCACTGTCTGGGTGTGCTACAGCTGGTCTAGCTATTCATTGTGGAGGGAATCTTGGTCCTTTCTGGTTTGGCAACTGTGGGTGACAGTGCCAGAGCATTCACATGCAGGTGTTTGTGCGGATGTAAATTTCGACCCCACTAATGTTGGGCAAATACCAAGGAGTGCGATTGTCAGCTCATAGGTTAAGACCATGCTTAGCTTTGTAAGAAACTGCCACATTGTCTTCCAAACGGACCGAACCGCTTTGCATTCCCAACAGCACTCGATGAGTATTCCTGTGGCTCCACGTCCTCCCCAGCGTTGGTGCTGTAGGCGTGTAGTGGTACTTCACTGTTGTTCTCATTTGCCACTTGCAAATGGCAAAGGATGTTGAGCATCTGCTCATAGGCTTATTTGCCATCTGTATTAGTCGGGAGCCTCCCGACAATATATACGGATATGTATGAAGGGAAATGTATCACAGCCACAGGTTCACATGGTCATGGAGGCCAAGAAATCTTCCATTCTGCCATCTGCGAGCTGAGAACCGGGAAACCTCGTGGTATGGTTCACCCCGAGTCCGATGACCTGAGAGGAACAAGGGGCTTGACGCTGTACGTCCCAGTCAGAGACCAAAGGCTTGAGAGGCAGGAACTCCAATTTCCAAGGCACAAAAAATAGAGATGTCCCAACTCCAGCAGAGAGTGTGAATTCACTGTGAATTCTCCGTTCCTGGATCTTTTTGTTTCATTTGGCCCTTCAGTAGACCGGATAATGCCCACCCACATGGGTGAGGGTGCATCTCCTGCATTCAGTCAACTGATTCAAATGCTCATCTCTTCCAGAAACATCCTCCCAGGCACAAGAGATCATGTTTCGCCAGCTGTCTGGACACCCCTTAGCCCTGTCAAGTTGACATAAAATGAATCGTCACACCACTTGTACTTCCTTTTTGGTGAGGCGCTCTCCCAACCATGTTTGGCCTTTTTTAAATGACTCTAAAATAAAGATTTTCTTTGTTTGTGGTAAGAATGTGTGTGTGTCATTGCTCATACTTAGAAGCTAAATGAAAGTCGTTTCTCTTGCCTTTTTGCATCTGGTGATTGGGGCACTCACCAAGGGGCAGAGCTGGGCTTAGGTTGCACTTACTGTACCTGGAAAGAGTGTTTCTTGGCTCACCTCAAGCCTGCTTGGGCTTTGGGCTTAGGTTGCACTTACTGTACCTGCACTTTCTTGGCTCACCTCAAGCCTGCTGGCAGCCCTAAAGGTGTTTTCACAGGCCTGGACGGGAGGAGGTGTTTTGTTTCTTCTTTGATGACTTTAATTCTGTCCTGATGATTTGAGGATTAATTTAACTGCACTGTACGTCGTCACTTGATTTTGCCACTTTAAGTCTCCACTTGGAAACAGAAGGAAGACCATCCTTGCTTGTCTCTAAACAGGATTCCCTTGGCTCAAAGCTTCAGGCTGAACCTGAGTGTGACTGCCATGAGTTCTGTCACCATCTGAGGACTGAATTTAAGCTGCTGTGACCTTTTGCTGAAAATCCAGTGGGCTGGAAATTGAAAGCCTGAGGGAACCGAGGCCATTTTGCTGGTGATTAAAAATGGATGTCTCGACTTCACCTATACAAGACGCCTAGACAAGTCAAATAATAGAAAACAGAACCTACAGAAAGTAGCATGGTGTTGTCTGGGGACTAGGGAGAGCTGGGAATTGGTGAGTGGGGTCAGAGTTTCAACTCTGCAAAGTGAGAAAGTTCTGGAGATGGACAATGGTGAGGAACGAACAAGGGTGTGAACGTACTTCACGCCACCGAACCACAATGATTTAAATGGCAAATTTCACGTCATGCCTGTTTGACAACAATTCTCCAAAAGAGGGCGCCCTGTCGGGGGAACAACTGATGTGTCCACATCCATGTGGGTACCAGTCCCGGCGCCGGAACCACGCCAGGGTCTGGCAGGGGGTCTGACGCACCCAGTGCTGTTGACATGGCCAGAGTTGCCCCTTCCTTGCCCTCCCAGCTCTCCCAAGGGCCAGGTTTGTGGCTCGGGCGGCGAAGGGGACACGCCTAGCCAACTAGGCCCCGACGGGAAATTGTTCTGGCAGCTCCATTTCCACGGCAACTCTGCCGGAAGCCCAGGCAGGCAGGCCCTGCCAAGCTCCCCCGGCCACCCGTCACCTCCGCCTTCCCGCTCCGCATGCACCCCATGGCCTGTCCTGGGACAGAGGCCCCCGGAACTGGGGGAAGCCGGCACTCACTTGGCATAGGCTTTCTCCAGCAAGGCGCTCCAGAACTCGTTGTGGTCGGCAGAGTGGAGGAAAACCAAGCGGTCCCTGAAGGTGGGCAGCCGGTCGTCGATCACCACGTCCAGCCACTCGCTGTGCTGCCAGAACTGTGGCCCGGATGGAGACGGGAATGATGGCATCAGTCACGCGGGAGGGAGGCCCGGGCTCCGTCTGGAAGTGTTTATCCTGCAGCTTCCCCCACCTCTGACCAACTGCCCTTAGAGTCTTCTGATCACACGAGGGTTCCATGATGGGACCGTGTCCACCAGGCTGTGGCCGCGCCTTCCACTCACACTGACGTCAGCTTGGAGACGCAGGGTCAGCCCGTCAGAGTGGGGGAAGCAGCCCAGGAGTCACATGGTGACACTGCCGTGGTCTGCATTCACTTTTCTTCTTCCCCTGAACACCTTTTTTGGCGGGGCGGGGAGGGTGGTGGTGTGGGGTTGGGTCTGCTCTTGTGAGTCCAGCTCCCTACCCTCTCCCGCATGGGTTCAGGGTCTGGCTCCCACATTCCCGGGCCTCTAATCCCTCCTCGCCCACAGACGGGGCCCCTAAGACGGATCTGTTGACCGTTCATGTAGACAGAGGCAGGCGGCCTCGGCGTGCCCTGCGTGCAGGGGGTGGAGCTGTGAGGGGAGTGTGGACCTGTGTGAATGCCGGTGCACACATACATACAAGGCTGCACAGGCGTGCGCCTGTGTGTGCATTGTCCACGTTCATTCACACATTGCCTGTGCGCAAGCACGTGTTTGCTCGCATGTGTGCGAGTGTGTGCCTGCAAGTGCACACACATTGTTGTCTGAGTGCACGTATGCATGTGTGTGAGCTCACGTGTGGTCCGCAGGGAACGAGAGGGGAGGTGGGAACGAGTCCAGGATCATGCTGGTTCCTCTGTGCTTTTTGTGCTCTGAAGCAACCTGCCTCCTCCCATTCCCTCTGGGTCAGTTGACCCCAAAGATTCTAAGGGAACCTTGAAGAGGAAGACAAAAGGCAAGGGCAGAGAGGAGGGCAGGGGCCGTGGCTCCGGGATCCCCTCATTGACAGCTTGTCTGTGGCATCCTGAGTGTCTTCTGCAGCGGTGACTCAGTCCCAGTCAGACTTGGCCAGCTGGGGCATGTGCGTGTCGTGTGTGTGTGTGTGTGTGTGTCTGTGTGCGCGCGCGCACACGTGTGTGTGTGTATAAGAAGATTCCTGCTGCCAACCTTCCCTGGACTCCCAAGCGGGACTTCCTCTGGGCATGTCGCCTCCTGACATGGTCACTTCAGGCTCTCGGGGCTTCCAGTCGAGCAGAGGCGCAGTGGGGACAGGTGTTTAAAGTCCAGGCCTGGGGCTTGGGCTTCCTGAGCGGGGCTGGGGAGGGATCAGGCCTGGCCTTCCTTGAGGGGGTGGCTCAGGGGGCCTAGAGGCTCGAGTCAGGAAAGGCGGGTGCACCGGTCCAGAGGGCTCTGCTTACCTCCCGGCACCCACACACGGTGCAGCGGCTGAGGGACCCAGAGGGTCTTGAAGGAGGCAGGGTTTATTTCCAGTCCTCCGCTCCCCAGGATGCTGAGGAGGGGAGTGGGGGGATTGCCAGCACGGGACCGACAGGCTCCGCTGGGCCAGACCCATCTGCTGCGCAGGGACTCGACCTGGAGCTAGAACTCCTGGGTTCTCGGCCTGTTTCTGCCCCTTAGTGTTTTGTGGCTTTGGATCAATCACTTCCCCACCTCGGGACTCAGTGTTCCCAGGGTCAAGTGAGGGGCCTGGGTCAGCGGATGGCCAAGTCCCCTCCCAGCTGGGACATTCTAGGGGAGGGAGACGCTGTTCCCTTGGGGAGCCCGGGATCAGCTGGTGGTGAGTTTAAATACCCCCAATCCTGCACCCTGACGTGTCCAAAGGGCCAGGAATGGGCCGGAGGCTGGGGCACCACGAAGCCAATGCTGCGGTATCAGGAGGGTGGCAGGTGCCTGGGAGAGCAGGGGAAGAGTTCCCCCAGGCCCCCAGGAGGCCGTGTTCCCAGCTGGCCCTGGAGGCCTGACTGCCGGGAGAGGAGAGAACCCCCGATGCTACATGCTGCCTGCTTGCCATCTTTGCTTTGGAAGACGTCTGTGCTGCTGGTTCTAGACCAGAGGGTGTGCTGGTTTATCTGAGGTACACTGGGCCTCAGGGATAGAAGGGACAGGGCTAGTCCCAAGCAGAAGGTGACAATGCTGGGGCAGAAGGTAAAGGAGTGCCACTTTGTGCCTGGCACCATGCCAGCTCCTTGGTGTGAGCCCATTTTGTTCCAGGAAGCCCACAGGTCACTGCCTGTCTCTCCGTTTTCAGATCAGGGTATGAAGGCTCAGTGTCACTAAGAAAACTGCCCGAGGCCACCCACCTAAGTCAGCGCAAGGGGCCAGCTTCAGTATCTGGTGGAGCCCCATAAAAGAGCTGGGATGGAGGAGAGAGCAGGAAGAAGGTGGAGTGAGGGAGCCGGAAGCAAAGTCGCCCAAAGCAAGCCTCGCCCCTGTGCGCCTCGTCGTGGGCTGGACGCCAGCAGATGTTGCCTGTGTTTTTCTGTTTTTATTTCTTAAACTCCCTCAAGGCCTCCAAATTTACATTTCTTCCATGAGGGACACCTCTCTGCTTATAAGAAGTCATCCAGGGCTGGGCTCGGTGGCTCAACCTGACATCCCAGTACTTTGGGAGGTCGAGGTGAGTGGATTGCCTGAGCCTGCGGGTTTGAGATCTGCCTGGGCAACTTGGCGAGACCTCGTCTCTACAGTAAATCAAAAAAATTAGCTGGGCATGGTAGCACATGCCTGTAGTTCCGACTACTTGGAAGGCTGAGGCGGAAGGATCGCCGATGCCCAGCAGGTCGAGGCTGCGGTGGCCGGGAGCGGCCACTGCACTCCAGGCTGGGTGACAGAGTGAGACTCCAACTCAAAAAAAAAAAAGAAATGCCCTTAACCCCTTGACATTTGGGCCTACTGATTAGCCAAAACGTCACCTAAGGTTTTAGCGTGTGTACCTTGTGCAAGCATTCACCATGCAGGGCCTGTCATGAGCTTCTGCCACATTTAGACACTATTCCATGACAAGGCACGGTTTCAGCATGACTTGGCACCGTCGCTGTCACACAGACACAGCCATATTTTTCTCAGTGTTCCCAGCAGCATAAAGATGCACCCGCCGCCATGCCGGGCCCCAGAGAGGCAAGCCCACCAGCCCAGGGTCCCCCTTACCTGGAAATGGAATATCCCAGCATAATCAGGCCCAAAACTTTGGTCCTGGGGGATGACTCTGGCCAGCGCTTTTTGATTCAGTGTGAGGGAGGCGATGGCGGCTAATAGCCAGCAGTCTCCTGCAAATGAAAGCCATAAATCGCAGCTTTCATGGCTAATTCGCGGCAAATAGCAAACCTCGATGCCAGAAGGGGAGGTGGGGCGTTCCCGATGTGGCCACATGTTTTCTCCTTGCTTAACATCAGACAGAATACAATCAAGACACCTCTGTCCTCCCTTTCAGCCTGCTGTTGTCCTGCCCAGTCTGTCATACCCAGCTGCCGCCTTCTCGGCACTGTCACGGGATGCTCTTACAAGGGGGCCAGAAAACGGGCTCCACCGTGTGTCAGCTTGTGAAGCTCCACGCTTTCCTCCCAATGGACCAAGGGTGCAGACTGCCCTCGGTGTCCGCGTGGGCTGGGCGGGACGTGGCTCTGTGGTACTTCAGGGTGGGAGGGGGGTCAGAAATAACCCCAGTGGGTCTGGGGAGCACATCTCTGGAGCTGAGGCATCTCTCCAGCCAGGTTCAGCTGAGTTACAGGGAGCGGTGGCTCCATGTGCTTTAAATTATCCTGCATTTTCAGGATGCGCTGACTGAGGTACTGCGTTCCCCAGCTGTGTCTTCATGTTGGCACACACCCAGAGAAAACTAAGCAGTGAAGCCAGACATCAAACAGCCCTGCATCTGTGTCTGCCAGACTCCCAGAAGCATTCCTTGGCCTGTACTGGCGATGGACTCGAGGTCTTGTGTGTGCCAGCATCTCCAATGCTGCCTGTGAAATTTGCACGAGCAGATATTTGGGAGTATCTGTATATCTGATACTCATTCTACACTTATTCGGTTGACAACACCAACGCCATCAGAACCTAAGACCTCGTTGAACTCAGCTTGGTTTCCTCGGATTCACATTTCTGGAAAGTCCTGTTCGCCACTGGACGTGGGGCATTGTAAGCCTACGACCCCTTCTGGTGGTACCCAGTGACTTTAGAATCGTTCTGTTTCTGATTCTCCCAAGAATGTTGCCAGTGGGACACATGCCACTCCTTGTGTCCCATAGAGAACAGGTTTTTAACATATCAGCTAGTCTTTGGGAGCCTTGGGACAGCTTTGGGGAACGCCAGTGGGCAGTGACCTGGCCGGAGACTGCAGGACCATTTGTTTAGCAAACTGTATCAAGTTCCCCCCTGGCTGGCAGGTGCCGTGCCACACCAAACACACACAGACATGGTTGTCCACCCTCAGCTCGCAGGCAGCCAAGCCAGTTGGAGTCTAACAGATTCAGCCAGAAATGCTCTGAGCTTTTGGGGGGGAAGATTCAGAAGCAACATTAGGTCTACAACTTAAAAGAAAGGAAAAAACCTCAATGAGACAGAATTGCTTTTCTTGCTGCTGGGCCTGGGCAGTCAGGGGGCCGGCCCAGGAGAAGTGCCCTCTTTGGATCGGTGTGCTGCTGGCTAGCTGGACAATGTCCTTCAGGGGACGCTGGTGGAGGTGCCTGCACGGCGCTGTGGATGTCCTAGCTCTTGGGGTGGTTGGCAACAGCTCATTGCTGCTCACTTTATTATTATCCTTCATAACCCATATATATATGCTAGGTATAGTATTTGGGTGTCATGAAAGTGCTACAAAATAATATTTAGAACCAACCATCTGACCAAGATTAAATATTAGGTTGTAATTCAAAATACACGTTTACACCAAAGTGACGAGCCAACACTCTGAAAAACGAGCAATCTGGCCCAATGATTTTCCATTGCATAGCAATGGAGGACTGTGGGCTGGGGCGAGGGGAGGCGGGGCGGGGGCAGAGGGAAAGGTAGGAATAGCCCCGAGAAGCCTCAGCCTCAGTAAAGGAAGATCACTTGAGTGTGAGCTAGTTGGAAAGTCGAAGTTGGGCCTAGAATATGTCTAGTCACTCCTGGCCATATGTGGGGGACTGAGTCCAAGAATCTGTCGCCAGATCTGTACGTACTCAAGTCCTGCTGAAGGCTCTGTGGAAGCTGCCTCTACAAAGTCAGCGCTCTGATATGCAGGTTTTGAGTCCTCAAATACCGTATTTTCTGTCTGTGTTTGGCTGGAAAAGTCCACCCCTAAGTGGACCCGCCCAGCGTACCTGCATGTTCCAACTCTTGTTCAAAGATCAGCTACCGTTCTGTCATCCGTCATCCACCAAACCTCTTATCCACTCAGCCATCATCCATCTAGTTACCCTCCTGTCCCCCTGTATGTCATTGCTTAGCGTCTATTTTCTGTTTGCCAGCTATTAGCTATTCTCTGCCTACCTACCTACCTGTCATCTATTCACATATCTGTTGAGACCCCCCTCCTTTCCTGTCATCTGTCGACTATTTTGATGTGTCTCCCTTTCCATCTTTTTAATCTATTTGCTTAACCATCATCGACCTAGGCTTGTGACTTTTGGATTCTGTATTCAGGGTAGCCCGGTGACTCAGTGTGGAATTTCCAGCGTGGCCTGCCTGAACCATCAGACCCCAGTGGTAACCTCAACTATAAATAATTTGCTGTCTGCACAGGCTTGCAGTGGTTTGCTCTCCTGGCTGATTTCTGGTGTGTGTGTGTGTGTGTGTGTGTGTGTTTTAAGGGGGTCTCTCACTTTTTGTCATAGATAGAATGAAAGTAAATCCAGTCCAATTGGATTATACCCTAACATGCAGGACTCAATGTGGCTGGCTTGGGGACACACTCTGGTCAATTGCAGGAGGGAGATTAGGTTGCTAGGGGGCAGGGGGAGGCCTTCCCCTGAGAGGTATCATGCATATTGGTTAGGAGCAAAGCCTCCGCAGCCAGATGGTCTGGGCTCAACCCTGAATGCCATGACCTTGGATAAATTACTTAGCTGTCCCCAGCCTCCAGTTCCTCAGCTGTGACATCAGGCAGGTGGTTGGCAGGTTGAAGCCAGGCACTGTGTGTGCAGGAGGGGGTGTGGCAGGCGACCAAGCTCTTGTGTGCAGGTGTAGGCCCCTGTCACAGTGTTGGAGAGTCCGACCAACACGCCGGTGTCACTGTCTCTGTGAACTCCTCGGCTGTGCACCCCAGACCACTGGTGTGTCTGCCTCCAAAAGAACCAGCGTGCAAGGGGTGTTGGACACCAGGCCCCAAATAGAGGAGGAAGGCTGAAGGTTTGGGGAGGGTGGAGCAGGGGTGATACCAGTGCTGTGCCCCAGCACCTGTACTCAGTTCCAGGGACCCGGTGAGGCTGTGGCCCTCCCATCTTGCGGGTTCCCGCCCTCGTTGCCGTCTCCGGGCCGGCACACTCACCAAGCTCCCCCTGGCAGATGTCAGTCCTGGTGGCCCCTCCAAGAATGAATTCTGGGTTTTTCACGATTTCCTGGAGGAAAGACAGTGTGATTAGAGTGAGGCGGCCATGCCACGGGGTGACACGAAGTTCAAGGTCTCTCTCTTTCCTCGGAGCAGAGGACTTTTCCTGTGTTTGATTCCCTTCCCTTGTGGAGGGTCACATGAATGTAAAGGTTGCCGTGGCCTCTATGCTCCAGACAAACCCTGACCTGGCCCTGCTAAATCTTCTTCCCAGCTTGCCCCCCGGTGAGCTTTATGACCTCTGTGGGCTTCAAATTCCTCGTTTTAAGATGAGGAATGCATGCATCACAGGCTGGGGCTTGGATTGAGCACAACCTCACGTTCCACCCAGCCAGTGTTTTTCTTTTTTTAGCTACACATTAAGGTAAAATTTTACATAGCTATACTATATATACCAGGAGTGCCAAACAATGTATACACATTTTAAGAGATGTTATCTATGTATAAGTTTTTGAAGTTAAATTGAATTAAGGTAGCAATGTATGTATGACATTCTCTCAAATGCTAGCATCACCATGTGACAGGCAGGTATAGATTGGGTACTAGAATTTTAATGCGGCTTTCTTCCTTTCTTGAAATGTGTATACATTTTTTTGGCACCCTCTGTGTATGGAGAAAGAGAGATATATGCTCAAATCTCTCAAGCAGCTCTACCTAAGTACATTATATGTTGCACATAATGAGATATATTAGGTCTGTAAATATGATCATTAATATATGTTAACATATACACATATAATATGGATGGAAATGTACAAGACATTAAACAAAAAAAGTTAGAAAGTGATGACATAAAATTCATGTATTCTTTTTTAACTTATTTTCTTTTAGAGATGGATCTAAATCTGCCCCTCAGGCTGGAATGCAGTGTCATGGTCACAGTCACTATAGCCTTAAACTCCTGGCCTCAGGTCATCCTCCCACCTCAGCCTCATGAGTAGCTGGAAATACAGGTGTGCACCTCCATGGCTAGATAATTTTTTAAATTTTTCATAGAGGCAGGGTCTCACTATATAGTCTAGGCTGGTCTCAAACTCCTGGGCTCAAGTGATCCTCCCCCCTCAGCCTCCCAAAGTGCTGCTGGGACTACAGGTGTACCACCACCACGCCTGGCTAATTTTTAAAATTTTGTAGAGATGTTGTCTAGGCTGGTCTCAAACTCCTGGGCTCAAGCAAGCCTCCTGCCTCAGCCTCCCAGAGTGCTGAGATTATGGGCGTGAGCCACTGTGCCCAGCCGGTCCCAATTTTTTTTAGAGGTGCTGGGATCCCTCCCTGACCTTGGACTACAGCAAAGGAGAAGATCAAGCCCCTGCCCTGTGGAGCTGCTCTGGACTCCGTTTTGTTGGGAAGGCAGCCCATAGGCCGGGAGTGATAAGGGCTAGGAGAGTGGGATGGGGCTGTTTTAGCTAGGATGGCTGGAAGGGGAGGCCTCTTTGGGGAAAGGGACTGGGGAGCAGAGACCCAAGCAAAGGGAGGGAGGGGGCACCTGGAGGTGGGGGGGTGGGTTGTGATGTTGATGACCGATTTGGCACCCAGTGGAGGCTGGAGGCTAGATTATTCCAGCTGGATTGGAGGATGCAGGAGGGCGAGGACCTTTCCCACCTCTTTCTAGACTCCCCAACCGAGAAGAGGCCTGGGTGGAGGGAGAGCCCTCAGGGCGCCGTGGGAGCAGCGCACACCCTGGCAGAGACAGCCGCCCTGAATCACTTCCTCCAAATTCTCAGGACCCTGCTTTGCTGGGAGCCGGCCGTGGAGGCCCGCCTGAGCGTTAGGGATCCAGGCGGGCTGCGGACCTTGAGGCCACCAGGCTGGTTCAGGAGCTGAAGGCCCATTCCCTCCTCCTTTCCTTGTTGTTTAGCATTACCCACTGGTAGGGATTTTAAC